AAGTCTGCCAGCCCTGAGTAATTCATTTGCATATTAAGCTCTGATCACAATATGCAGTGAGAACGCTTAGATCAGATCAAATGTCGTTATTTAGATATTGTATCCAGATATGATCACATTTTAATACTAGGTAGAAATGGAACTGAAATGTACAACTTAAGAGACCAACACCAGAAAATCTTTCATAAATTACTCTTTTAAAAGTTATTTTCTAAACTAAATGCATTTTAAATTTTATAAAGCAGAAAAGTGGCCATTTGATGGAGAATTACAAAGGACTTCTGCTGATGAATGAGAACACCTACAGAAACATTAAAGAAGTTGTAAAAACTGCTTTGACTGTCCTTTCTCTGCTCTCTGCAACATGTTAACAAATACCAGTAAAATTTCTTGTGCTGGTCTGGTCTGGTCTGTGAGGAGACCGAGAGCGTAAACCTCTCAGCACATTAGCTCTGTCAGCAGGGGGGCCAGGATGGCACTGAGAGAAACACAGACACACAACGGATAAATGAGTCAAGCAGACATGAAACAACACGACCATGTAGAAACACTCTGAATATCATTAGCATTCATATGGCTTGTTTTTGGCAGATTGGCTCTTAACTAATTTTCACTAGTGGAAAACAATTAGTTGTTGGAAAGAGAGAGGGTCTTTAGACAAGACTGGGCCTATCAAATGTAATTAGGGGTTAAAGCCTACATATCAAAATCACTACATTGTTTTGTACTGCTGGTGGCAGTAGTAGAAGTGGTAGTATTAATATTATTAATACTTTTCCTACATAGTTAGCCAAGCTAGTGACTGTAGGGTGACAATGTTGGTCTGTCAGTTGATGATGAACGACTTTGGTGATCCCCTGACTTTACCTCTAGCACTGACATGAGTGGTTTTGGTTTAGCTCAAAGCACCACTGTACATACACTATAAAGCCTATTCAAAGCCACTAGCGTGGCTATAGACTCTGTAGCCTTTTTACAATAGATTTTATATGATAGAAATGTCATTCAGGGGTTCCTTATTCCTCAAGAAATAACACCATAATCAGCACAATAGAGACACTATTATCAAATAAATTGCCTCCAGTTTGACCGGAAATGAATCCATACTGGCCATACAACTTTTCTGCTGGTTCACTATATAGAATTTGTTTTCTAAATTTTAACAATTCTTTCTTTTCACCATTTTTCAGCAGTTTGCAGAGGCTAATTAGGAGGAACACATTTTCAAAAATGCAATACTTGCAATGATATTTCAAAAGATATGCCTCAATTGCCAATAATGGGTTAGTTTTGAATCCAATTTGATCAGAATTACCATACAATAAATTCTGTCTGCACAAACAGCACAGCTGCATTTATTTAAATCTTGTTTCACTAGGTGTATATTCTCAATGTTAAAAAATATCAGTGGTGACAACAAACAGTACAGTGCTGTTATGTTGTACATGTGCTGAACCTTTTCTGGTCAGCTGACTGATGTAGAGGAGGAAGACTCAGAGTCAGACACTCAGACTGCACACATGGCTTTTCTTAAATGTCATTCTTCCCCCATCGGCCAATCAAATTGAGAGGCCGGGGAGAAGTGGCCCTGATGCTGCAGCGATTACCAGCGAGGAGAGAAAAACGATGCAGACTTCGTCTTCATCCTCATCCTGCTCCATCTCCTCCTCTCCCTCTTGGCCCTAATCCACTTAGTTGGCTCTTCCTGAGCTTACAGCCTTTCCTTTATTCCATTATAAAGACCGTACGACCTGCTGCTTATTTCATTAAAAAGGCCCAATCCGTGACGCATGTCTAATCCATAATGCAGACTATAGGCTTGTCATGGCACGCTATAGTCCACAGCACAGTCCAGCAGGGTGGCTGACAGATGGGACAGAGGGAACAGGGATGGAGAGATGGAGGTCCAATGAATGAGGGGGAATTTGAGAGCTCCGCTTATGAGTAAAGCTTCCCAGTGAATATGATTCCACTGATGTAAATGATGATAGAGTTGAGGCTTCGCTACTCTATCTTTGACGGTTGGAGATAGCTTTCCCATGGCCCATCAGTGATATGGAAATGGCCACATCTAAGGGTTGAATATAGCCTGTAAAATGAGCATAAAAGCCAGAGGCTTTCAAAACCCAAAACACCTTGGCTTAGAGTTTATATTGTAGTCAGTACTGTAGCTCATTACAGTTAACCTTGGGAGAACTTTGCAACACAAAGTGAGTGGCACTGAATCCTATAATAGTATTCTATCAACTCTATCCAATTTGACTTTGCTTCCATTCCCTCTGTTTGACCTTCTTCTCTCTCTGCCCACATGAAAATTCTTGCTCCACCTCTGGATGCCCTTCACCCTAAATCCCCTTCTACAACTTGCTTAAGATCCAGTTTGCTGAGTGTTTTCATCGCATCTACAATTCTAAATTTACAACCCCCCCCCCCCATCAAATTCTAGCTTCTCTGCGTTTGCACTTAATAGCCTATCAGGTTACGTGTTTATTGATAAGGCAGCACTATTTAGCCCTGAGTACCTGGTTTCCCGCATACCTGCGCCAGCGCTTTAGAGCCAGGACAGTCATTCTGGCAATGCAACGTCAGATAAAAGAGACACGTCCCATAGAGGTAACATCTTACAGTGGTTGATGGGGAAAATGGCTTTTTTAGCTGTCTCTGTTCAGGCTCAACTCAGGTCATTAAGATCTGTTAACTAATAATAATTACTTTTAACTGGGGTTCAGCCAGAGAGCCACTTCTAGAGGCCTGAGGACATACAAATACGGCCAGGAAGTGACTATAACCCTCTCTTCATCGATAAAACCAGCATATCTCATTACCACAGTGACCTGCGGTACACTGCCACTCGCTCTTGATCATATAAAACCCATTTCAGTGCGTTGTCCCCGCCGGAGCACTAGCAGAGTGGAATATTCATTATTCAAATTTTAAGCATTGGAAATCCCAATATGTTACTAAGGCCAGATGAGATGAGATGAAATAGCTTAGCCTTTTGTCCAGGGAACATTGACTAATCGTCTCGCTCCCCAAAATCAATTTCCCAGCCGTTAGCATCAGACGCTCATGATTGTACTGTACTGTTGAAGACCCCCCACCACTATCACCTAATACTCCTGCTGGCTGCCCAGAATAACTTATTGATTAGTGATTATGTTACGGGAGGTGTGGGTGGCCGGGGCGGAAGACGGACCGGCCTCAGTCATCTCCATAGGGCTAAATTTGGGTCTTCTGTCACCAGATCCAGCACATACTGACACTATCGCCAGCTGTCACAAGCCACCAGCCCTGCTCGCTGGATGAGGACAGGAATTAAGAAAGTGTTCTAGAAGTATAAATATGAGGAGAAATAGTCTGAGAGCTTACAGTGTAGGGGGTGTTTAAAGCAAAGCGGCACAGCAGGGGTTTCGAGACAGATGATAAATTCTTAGATGTGGACTACTAAAAATGCCAGAAATATTTCAAAACATGGATGGTTGATTGTTAAATTTGCTGGTGGTGTGGAGATTCTGGCATGGTGATGGACTGTTTCACCCCCAGGGTACTGGGCTGATCTCTCCCTCTCTCTCTGATTCTGTGCTGAGCCTGAAAAGTGGCTGTGATCAATACCTGCAGGCCTTTTCCACAGAGCCAGAGGGCTGTTTGTGTGTGTTTGTGTTTGTGTGTGTGTGTGTGTGCGTGCATGCATGCGCGCGCGTGCGTGCTGTGTCAGCATCCACTCAGGACTTCATCAAACAACCCCCATACCTCAGCTTCATACACACATACACATAAGACGCCGACATCAGCCAACGCCCGTCTCAAACAGTCGCTCATTTTTACTTTCCCCTCCTCACCCATCACCCCTATCATTCACACACACACACACACACACACAAATGCACGCCTCCTTCCTCCCATTCACCACCATCCCAACAAGGATGTTAAATACCATTCAAATGTCAGCCCACAGTATTGATTGGAATGATAATTCTGAAAGGTAGGAGAGATGGCTTGTTGATGCTAAGCAGGCGCATGACGGGCCGAGCATCCTTCACTGTCACAAAGTTGCCATGTAAGGGTTCCCGACTCCCCTGGCAGAATGTGGATGGTGGTTTACGTTAGACCACCGAGGCCGTATGTTTCTGCCATTAATCATTGGCCTCACGGGCCAGTGACAGGCAGACCAGGATTCATGTTGAGAGAGAAAGGGTCGTTTTAAACGCCCTCAGATCAGACTGGCTACGTGGGTCTGTGTGCGCACGGATGTCACACCAGAGGGTTCAGTCATCACCAGGTGGTTTTCCTTTATATGTAATGTTTGAGTGTAAAAAGACATTTAAGAATATGCAGGTTGCTTAATGATTGAAAGTATGATCTACTAAACATATCTTTTGTTATTAATCTGAACAAACTGTTTTGTCTTTTATGTGTAAATAGGCCTTATTTTAGGGGAGAGGGTTAAAGGTTCAGTTCATCTCTAAAAAGACTTAAAATGTTTTCTACTTACATCCAGTGGTATTTCTGCTGCTACTCCAGTACAATGGAGGTGAAAGGAATTTTTTTTTTGTGGCTCTCAAAGCTGTGAAAACTGACACTTGGAAAGTGTAAATCGTTTTCACTGAATCTACTTCCTGCCGAAAGGATATTCCCTGTGAAAACCCTTCAACTTCTGCACCACGGTAAGCCTTAAAGTCGGGAACACTTTACTTTACTGACACTTAAGAGGCTTAAGAGAGGCGCCTTTGGTCTGTGCAAAACAATTGTTTGAGTTTATTACATGTGACACTGTGCGAGATAAAATCTGTAGCGTTACAATGTAAATATAAAAAAGGTTTAGAGAGCAGAGGCACGTCATCAGCTCCATCATCCATCTGTGCTGCTCTCATATTTTGAAAATGCAGCAAAACAGTGTGTGTTGTGTGTGTGTGTGTGTGTGTGTGTCGGGGGGGGGGGGGGGGGCTCTCCTTGATGAACATGTGTCAAGGCGTTAAAATCAACTCAACAGTGACCCTCACCTGGCAGGTACCTCGATGTTGGAGATGGCATAGAAGTACTTGAGCAGATTGTCTCTCTGGACATAGGTGCCTCCGAGAGCGGGCCTGAGAAGCCTCATCCTAAGGTTGGTGAAGGTGAAGAAGTCCCTCAATCCCTTCATACTTTCCATGCGAGTGTACAGGCTGTCCATGTTCTGTAGCCGTGGTCCTGCGAACACGGCAAAGCGCGCCCGCACCTCGAACTTCACATTCTTCTCGTTCTTGGAGCCGACCCAGCGCGAGTACTGCTCGGTGCAGATGACCCGTGTGATGTTGGCCGGCGAAAGGTCACGCACACGTTTGGGTGGCATGTTGAAGGCGTCCATGCAGTCGTCAGCGTAGAACTGATAGGGCTGCCAGGAGCGTCCATGGTCCATGGACTTATCCAGTACCATGATGGTAGGACGGCCGTATTCAAAGGTGATCTGGATGTCGTCTGTGAGCTCTAGACTCTTGTTCCAGGACATGGTGATGTTGGCCAGCAGGGGCTCTGGATGGCGGCTCCATGTGACTGTCTGCCAGTAGGTGAGTAGGCCGTTACGTTCACGGTCCTGCATCAGCTGAGGCGGGTGGGCCAAGTCTGGATTAGAGGCGTCACACTCGTCACTGCACAGGTATGGATTCTCCTAAAGGACAAATGAAGACAGAGCACTAATACATCAGTCAGGGTTTGAGATTGAATCCAGCTTTTAGAGAATAATATTATATATATATATATATAGAGAGAGAGAGAGAGAGAGAGAGAGAGAGAGAGACACAAAGCCTGAAGAAAAAACAGAAGTCACTTTAATACCCTTATTATTTCAGTTTATAATAGGCTTTGATGGGCCATATTCCTCCCCCAAATTGCAATTAATCAAATTACTACAAAGTAATTGCCACACAGTGAACATGGGGCCTTTGGGGTCCCTGGGGCAGCCTGCTTTGCCCATTTGGTAATCCAGCCCCACACAGATTTTGTCAAAAATGTAATTTCAGGTAAAATGTCTCAATCAATTGATTGAAAACTCAATGTCTTGCAGCAAAATTATTTTGCTGGATGTTTTAATGTCAGATATTGTTGTCAGAGTGGATTTGTGGCCCCAGAGTAGTTACAGCCTCAGTTAAGGCAACTGAAAAGTATCTTGAGCTAAGGAATTAATGTCTCCTCCCAGTCAACTTTCAAGTAACATATGGATGCATAAGCCTTTATGTAGTCAAATATCAGTACTGATTCAAAATATGTGTACTTTATCTGTTGTGTTTATGATAAAAACATCCAACCACAAAGAACGGTGTCTATTTAAATGAGGAGTGTCTTCCGTTCCTCGCCAAAGCACTGAGGGACAGAGATCTTAAAAGTAAACTTGCCAAACAACACAACAGGATGTGTGAAGGTCAAGAGGATTGTGCATCATCACTGTCTTTGCATAGACAGCAGAGTGCTGCTGCACTTTTAACTCCAGAGAATTGATCCTCCTCTACTAGTGATGCCAAGACTTTCAAGCCGTGGCCCCTCTACACAACTCAGAAGTCAACGGGATTATTCACACTCCTCACAGAGAGCTTACGGGTCTCTTTCTACCTGCACTAAGAAATGCCTCTCACTCTCTGTTGGGAGATCACATTCTTGCATTTCTATGTTGCAAGAAATGTCAGGGTCCATACCTCCCACGACCTGTATCAGGAGTTTTCATAGCCCTCCACGAAACTTTGTGGAATTTAAAATCCCTCCCTTCATATAACTTTCTAAATTTCCATTTCCCAGAATCCCTAATTCCACAAATACTGGCGTATCATATTGAGACATTTGCAGACATTTCAGTAAAACGTATGTAGCTTACTGATGTAAGCTAGTTGTCTGACATCCACATCACCACCAAAGTTAAATATTTACACAAAGAAATCCCAGAGATCTTCACAGTCGTCTCTCCTGGTGCTTAATTTTCAAAATGGAGCTATAACACTGTTTAGATTGTATCACATTCAGAATGCTCATCGTGCCCCTCGGCTCTACTAATTAGACTGATAAGGGGTTATTATTTTGTCACAGTCATTCATTGTATCAAAGTGGTCATTATTGGTATTATCTGTACAAGGATTTATGTCATCACACACAGCCACTGGCTTATTATACTTATACAGTTAATTTAATTTTCAAAATATAATCCTCAACAGTTTTCTGCTTTAAATACAATACATAAATTTTATTTAGGTTAGGAATTATGCCTGTGATGTTTCCACTCGACTATGTTTCCAACCTCCTCTCCTGTTGTAGTAACTGATTAAATTTCATAGCCGATGTTAACCTTTTATTTATTGGGAATCCAGTAGTCCTTCTGAATTTTACTGCATTCTGCTTAACAAGCTCTTGATGGAGTGCAGAGTATGTCTTAAAATATCCTTTTTTTCATTCCACCTCCTCTTCCTCTCCTCCCCTCCCCCTTTCTTCTTTATTTTATTATTTTTGCCGTAAGTGTTATTACTACTTCTAAATGTAGTGTTTAAGAAATAACCCAATCGTCTTGAAATGCTGTTTGGTAAGGTAAATTATGTTGACAACACCAAATAGAGAAAAGCAGGAATATTTACTCCAGAGATTATTTTTGGAATATTATTTGATATTTGAATAATATATGACAAAGAACAAATGACAAGCAGTAGTGAGAGCCAAAGTAGGTGAAGTGAAAACTCCAATCTAAGCAACAGTGTCATCAAATATTTGCTTTAGCAAGGCACTAAAACTTTAACATTTGACCTGCATGTGACAAGCAAATGAATAACAGTAGCTTGTTTACGTCCACACTGTTTACATACCAGTGTCATCTTTTTCAGAATTAGAAAAAAGTTGTTTTATGTTCCTACATAAAACAAATCCTGTATAATGTTGTAGCCAGTTCGGTGTGTCACCGACTTTCGAACAAACTTTTAAGAAATATGCTCAAAAATGCTCAAAACAGCCAGTTTGGGAGTAAAAAAGGTTGAATAATAGGACACTTTTATATCAAAGTGTAACAGTAACCTCAAGCAGCCGACACGATGGAATGCATGTGTGTTTAGAACAGAACAGCCAATCAGAGACAAGGCTTTACCTTATCTGCCTTTATTTTTAGTCTATTTATGTGAAATCCTTAATTTCTCCAGTAACAAATAATGATAGTCTAATGTCTCTATAATATATAAATAGGGATTAAAAGCGGAATGGAAACAAAATAACCCAATATGGAATGGGATAGAAATTTAGTGTACAGTCAACAATGACCATGACTGTACTTCATACAGTCATTTCAATCTGGCTCTTAGAAGACGTGTGCTAATGTCTGTCTCTGCAATGAAGCCATCTAGGATTTTCTCTTAAATTTAAAAGACCTCTGGAGCTTCATTTTAAGAGCATTTTAAAGTCCTAAGACGTTTGATAGCTTTTATTTCAAAAGCAGTTAAAGTCACTTTAATCTTTCACTCAAGTCCCGAATTTCATCTTTAGTTTTCATAAATATGGGCTCTGATGATAAAACAGTTAATGCACATTAATGTTTTCTTTTCTAAACCATATCTAACTTTAAACTCAAAGAAGATTTACAAAAAGACACGTCTTAATGGGTGTTGATAAAAATCGCAGCAATGTATGAAATATAGGATGAAATGATTAATGCAGATTCATGCTTACTTTGATTAGAGTGATGCATCAAATTGACATGCCAAAATGACTGCCTACTTAGCCGTTTATCAAATTATAGCTATGACTAAGATACTGAAGTTACACTGAGAACATGAATTACACAAATTTGATGGAACACTGATAAAATGTAATGCTGCAGCTGCTTCAAGCGATATCCCCCCCAAAATCTGTCTTTCGTGTAACGAACACAGACCCCCTGTAGTCTTTAAAGTTGGCTGTAAATAGTTGGTAGTTTCATCCTAGATGGAAAATAGCAGCTGCAGTCAGCAGCAGGCGGATACTTTAACATGCCCAAACCAACGCACACGCCTGCTAACGAGTCTGACAGTCATGTGTGAGGATTGAGATGCAAGTTGCAAGAATTAAGCCATATTTTGTGTGGAAATAGAAGAGTTTGTAACATACTGAGGATACAGATAAAGAGTGGAGAAGTTTCTATGGATGTTTCAGTATGTTTCTGTTGGAGTCCATTGTAACTAACATCAGATCAAGCTGACCAAACTTTCTACAGCCACCTTGCAAACCTACAAATGCTGATTATCCAATACTCAAAAGATGTTGGGTGAAGGATCACTTTAAACAGCAGTTTCTTCTTTATGATGCAATCTCTAAGGTGAAAGCAATGCTGCATAATATCGATGGACTGTGCAAGCAAAGATCATGTGTCACCGCTTCTTTTCAGACGCTCACTTTTTCACGTCTGTTGCCAAGAAGTAGCATCCTTTTGAATAAAGTCACTGGACTGTACCAAGGGAAAGTGAGCAGTCATTCAAATCACTCTAGTGGTCTAATAACAAAAGCAAAAGTTACAATCCTGCGGGGGTGAGATTATAAATCATCTGATTTATGGTGACAACACCAAGTGGGAAAACTCCAAACATAAGCAAACGCTGAGCCGGTGCTGAGGGAAGCTGTATGGCACAGAAGACACTATACAGGATCATAATGCATGTGAAAACACAGCAGTGAAACTACAGTATCTGTACACCAAAAAAGCTGATGATAATCTATCTCTCTCCTCAACAGAACGACATAGTAGCATTGTTCTCTATCTGATAACCCAATTATCTCCATTGCACTGACTGAAATACAGATCACTGTCAGCAGAAACACACTTAGGATGATAATCTACAATGCTCATAAACAACTGCAACCGGAAAAGGTAATTGGAATCAGATGAAGGAGGTTCTAGTGAAACTCAGTAGCTACTTTTAGTCGGAAGCTGCTGTGGGCTGCAGTGGCCCTGCTGCTTTTGTGCCCTCCTTTAGCGCGTCCCCTGCCCTTAGTCCAGACACACCTTTACGCGCATAGGACTGGATTAGTAGGCTGTTGTTCTGGGGATGACCCTCAACCTACAAATCCTATTGAAAATGATCGCACTGTCATAGTGTCCCAGATACAACGCAAACTCCATATAGGTTAGCTCCTGTGCTGTGTGTTTGTGACAGCGTTTACGTGTGTGAGAGAAAGCGCGTGTGTGTTTGTGTGTGGGCGAATCCACAAACGAGACAAGAAGCAAGGATCATCTTGGAGGAATGTCTCATTGTCTCTTTGTTGGATTTGAGTGGTGGGTCTAAAAGCTGCACAGTGCTGTTCATCAGTCTTCTCTGGGTTGTCTGAGCCCATTAGGATTAGCTAATGTACAGTAGAGGTGATATGTACTGTAGTATAAGCCGGAAGATTTTTTTTCTCCCCCATGAGAGACTTACGCGCGAGGTTATGGTTAAGCCCTTTGTGTGCCCTGTCCTCCTTATCCCACTCTGTCTCCTGCCACTACTCTGCCCTGGCCTACATCTACATCTATGCCAGGATACACACACACCCACAAACACCCGCAAACGCACTCTCACACAGAAACACACACAGATCCCGGCCAACTGCTGTGGCAGGTGGCCCGCACTGCTAAGCCCCTCCAGCAATTATCCTCGCTGGGATCCTGTCTCCACGACAACAGCCGCCATGATGCCC